TCCAGAAATATAAATCTTGGGTAACAATTGCATTAAACACAACTACATTCATAGAATCATAGAAGATTAGGGTTGGAAGGGACCTCAGGAGGTCATCTAGTCCAACCCCCTGCTCAAAGCAGGGCCAATCCCCAGACAGATTTTTGCCCCAGATCCCTAAATGGCCCCCTCAAGGATTGAACTCACAACCCTGGGTTTAGCAGGCCAATGCTCAAACCACTGAGCTCCTCCCAAAAGTAACATCAAAGAGGACTCCAGAAAGACAGATTTTTAAGATCTTGGTAAGTAGTTTATCACCTGACCAGGGACTTAAACCCTGGACCCTCAGACTAAAAGTCTGATGCTCTACCAACTGAGCTAGCCAGGCTCAGATAACAAGTACTACAAATACCTCGCTTCTCTAAAAGCAAGCATTTATCATAGAAAACTCATAAAAACTAAAAAACTTCTCTATATGGCCACAATCTGTTAAATCAAAACAAAAAAAATGCAAACATTTCTATGTCCAGGCAAAGCCCGGAGAACACTTACACAACACATAACGTCGCCTACATAACTAGGATGAAACACACAGTGAGGATGTGTAGTGTTTCCCGCTAAGGACAATACAGTTATTTTTTAAACACCTCAGACAGTACAAAGAGTACTTTTTTTTTTAAAATGACAACACACAGAACTAAAACAGAAACACCCCATGAACAGCAGAAATGGACATTTGGCAAGCTGGACTCTCTACAAACACAGGTTTTGAAATACTGATTCCAGTCAAACACTGAGAGCAAGCAAAAAACAACTTGGTACGGCATCCTTGCGAATCTCCTAGTCCAGAACTTATCTGAGACCAGCTGCAGTCATGACATGTCTGAGACTGCATGAGCCTTTGCTTGATCCTGGAAAGCAAGCTCTGTTTAGGTATGAAAATTTCCATGAGACAATCATTGAAAAACGGTTCTCTGACAGTCTGATTTAACCTCAAATGAAACACTGTCACAGATGGACTTTAAAGGCTGTTGTCTGTTCCAGATAAAATCCAAGAGATTAAAAATGTAATTTATGTCATAAGCTTAATATTAATACATGAGGAGAAAATGACAGGAAAAATACCCTCTTAACACCGCCTCATACATCAGAGCTTTCCATAAAGAACCACATGTAAATAATCTGAAGGGATGGTGATGGATGCAAAAATAAATTTTCCACATATATTATAAACCATCATTAGTTGTTTTGCTTTGTTATGTTTTTTAATTAAGAACCAAGTTCAATATTTACTTCATGTAGACTACACACAAAACACGATCTCCCACATGGCAGCCTTCACTTGCTGAGCGGGCCAGGTTAACAGAACTCAGATAACCACATCAAGAAAACAAGAACATAAGAATGGCCATACTGGGTCAGACCCAAGGTCCATCTAGCCCAGTATCCTGTCTTCCAACAGTGGCCAATGCCAAGTGCTTCTGAGGGAATGAACAGAACAGGCAATCATCAAATGATCCTTTCCCTGTCACTCATTCCCAGCTTCTGGCAAACAGAGGCTAAGGACACCATCCCTGCCCCTCCTGGCTAATAGCCATTGATGAACCTAACCTCCATGAACTTATCTAGTTCTTTTTTGAACCGTGTTATAGTCTTGGCCTTCACAACATCCTCTGGCAAAGAGATCCACAGGTTGACTGGGCATTGTGTGAAGAAACTGTTCTGTTTACTTCTGGACTATCTTAAATTTTATATAGCACCTTTCTACATGAAGGCTCTTCAGCCCTTTACAACTCTGTACAGCAACACTGACAGGTGGACAATTCTGAGTGTGGAAAGCTGCCAATTGTTACAAGGCATGCTGCACAACCGTAGGTGTAGGAGAGGACGATCTAAAGTTAAATAAAATAAGCTATTGTTTGTATTTTGATTGTTTAAGCAAAAATAAAACATCAGATAAAATATTAGAGAAAAGTGGGGAAAACAACCTGCATCCAGACACAAATAAAAACAACTAGACTACAATATTGTAATATCAAACAGATTTTAACATTAATACATTCAGACTCATGGTTTTAGTCACACAATTAAGAAGAACTGATATTTTAAATCACATGCCAAATTTAAATGAAGGAATCATAGAATATCAGGGTTGGAAGAGACCTCAGGAGGTCATCTAGTCCAAACCCCTGCTCAAAGCAGGACCAACACCAACTAAATCATCCCAGCCAGGGCTTTATCAAGCCAGGCCTTAAAAACCTCTACGAATAGAGATTCCACCTCCTCCCTAGGTAACCCATGCCAGAGCTTCACCACCCTCCTAGTGAAATAGTGTTTCCTAATATCCAACCTAGACCTCCCCACACTGCAACTTGAGACCATTGCTCCTTGTTCTGTCATCTGCCACCACTAAGAACAGCCGAGCTCCATCCTCTTTGGAACCCACCTTCAGGTAGTTGAAGGCTGCTATCAAGTCCCCCCTCACTCTTCTCTTCTGCAGACTAAATAACCCCAGTTCCCTCAGCCTCTCCTCGTAAGTCATGTGCCCCAGCCCCCCTAATCATTTTCGTTGCCCTCCGCTGGACTCTCTCCAATTTGTCCACATCCCTTCTGTAGTGGGGTGACCAAAAGTGGGCACAATACTCCAGGTGTGGCCTCACCAGTGTCGAATAGAGGGGAATAATCACTTCCCTCGATCTGCTGGCAATGCTCCTAATAATACAGCCCAATATGCCGTTGGCCTTCTTGGCAACAAGGGCACACTGTTGACTCATATCCAGCTTCTTGTCCACTGTAATCCCCAGGTCCTTTTCTGCAGAACTGCTGCTTAGCCAGTCGGTCCCCAGCCTGTAGCAGTGCATGGGATTCTTCCATCCTAAGCGCAGGACTCTGCACTTGTCCTTGAATGAATACTTGATCAGTCACACATTTCAAAGAAAAATGATCATTTCTCTCTCTCTCAGAACTTGAACTAGTTAACTGTTACTTCATTGATCTATGACCATCCCCAAGCTTACTCACAAACTTATCCATACGTCATGATGTAGCTGACCCAGTTGTTGACTTACAGTGCTGTAATATCTGCCTCTTTGCAGAGAGTGACATGAACAGTACAATAAATAAAGCATGTAGCCTTGGAAATAGTGCCTGTTGTTGCAGCCACAAGCCCATACACCTAAAACAACAGGATCTGGAGCAGTACTTTCCAGCCCAGTGGTCATGATCCAGGGCTTTGGAGCGGAGACCGGAGCTGGAGCATGGAGCAGTTCTGGAGCTGCAGGTTTTTGCCTGGAGCTGGAGCGGAGCCGGAGCACAGCTCCAGAGCCCTGCCATGATCCACAAGTAGGTTCACCAGGAGCGCCTGGTAAGTCATGTCCCAGGAGTTGAAGGAAAACGCAGCAAAATCCGATGGACACTAGGATCCAGAAGTTGTGAATGAAGAAGACAGGTGAGCTCTTCTTGCCATCCTTTTCCTGTTGCCTCTGCCCGCCCTACCCAGCACCAGCCACTCATACCAAGCACCCAGATCCACACATCCTCCACCAAAAACGGCCACAGGCTCTTGTCATGACCCCACCCTTAGCATCCTAGTCAATTCATATTCGCATGTTCTAGGTCACACGCGGTGTACAAACATACCTAAGGAAAAGTTTCAATCAGACAGAATGGGTGGGTTTTAATGACATTACGTATAAGAACTTGCAGTTCACATCCGAGATATCAGTATAAGATGACGCTGGCTCTCCATTGAAACGTTCCCAAAAGTATCTGATTATCTTCTCTGTTATACCTATATCAACATTCCTTTGATTCACCGAGACTGATTTAATGACAGATGTCTCTAACTCTTCCATGTTTTCTTTATTTAAAGCTTCCGTACCACTTAACACTTCACCAGGCATTGTACTGCCCCCGTCTTCCCATTTCCATCTTCCTCCACCTCCATGATACCTCTTTGTGCTCTTCCTCTTTAGTAATTAAATTGAATCCAATTTTTGTGTGTGTATTCATACTAGTTCTTTTTTGAACCCTGTTATAGTCTTGGACTTCATAACATCCTCTGGCAAAGCGTTCCACAGACTGACTGTGTACTGTGTGAAGAAATACTTCCTTTTGTTTGTTTTATACCTGCTGCCTATTGATTTCATTTGATGACCCCTAGTTCTTGTGTTATGAGAAGAAGTAAATAACACTTCCTTATTTACCTTCTCCACACCAGTCATGATTTTATAGACCTCTATCATATCCCCCCTTAGTCGTCTCTTTTCCAAGCTGAAAAGTCCCCGTCTTCTTAATCTCTCCTCATACGGAAGCTGTTCCATACCCCTAATCATTTTTGTTGCCCTTTTCTGAACCTTTTCCCCTTCCAGTATATCTTTTTTGAGATGGGGGCAACCAGATCTGCCCACAGTATTCAAGATGTGGGCGTACCATGGATTTATATAGAGACAATATGGTATTTGCTGTCTGTATCCACCGCTACAATTAAGTCTCAAAAAAGGGCACACGTGAACAAAAATGTTAAGATGCACCAACCTACAGAAGTCAAAAACAGCTCTTTCATTCAACAGCAAAGGCTTATCACCCTCTATTGAAGTGTAATTGCTGTAAAAAATGTGGTAATGTCCAAAAACCTTGCTCAGAAAACCATGTATAAGAGTATACTGTACCTCTGCACCTCATCTGAATCAGTTACCACATTCAAGTATGACAATTCTACCAGGCAATGACACACCATTAAAGCACTTTGGTAATCTTTAAGGAACGCAACACAGCATTTTTCAAGGCAGTTTGTGCATAACCACCTATTCCAGGCAGGTTCAGAAGGGCTTAGATTTAAAACTTTTGTCATGGAAAAGATGTAAGAGGTTGAACCCATGAATAACATTTCGCTTATATTAAAATCATTAAATTAATGAGCGAATCTATTTTTTTATAATTAATTTACTAATGAGAAAGATATAGCAAATAAACTTGAGCCACTGGCTAGGTAAAGTACATCATAACACATGCCGACTCACCCTTACGAGACTTGACGCAATACACGAGCATGGTATCTTCACATGCTTGAGGCACTTTTCATGAGACATAAAGTTGCAAACTGTGGAAATAAAACATGAATGTTTCAAAAACGTGAGACTTTTCTTTTTCCAAAGCAGATCAAATATATTCAAGAACCACTTTCTAAACTGTACTATTACTAATGTCTCAGGGTTTGAGAACAGAGTTCATCCTATCCCTGTATTGCCCATTCTCCCCTTCCCAGCTGTCAAAGGAGCCATGTCCCCCCACCAGCACCACGCTAGGGGCCTGCTACCCCAAGCAGCTTTAACTACAGGGAGGCTGCTTACAGCCAGAACCAGCCCTAGGACACGGCCCAAGTGGGTGGGCTGTGTACAGAGGAATTCTTCCCCCTACAATTCATGACGTGGAGGAGGACTATATGGTGGATAAACATGGCATCAAACCCACTGGAGCAGTGGAGAAAGAGACGACAAAGGATAGGCTGCTTAGAGTATTGAAAATGAATTGCAATTTTTATTGCAGAAGTCATTAGTAACACTTGCATGTAAATTTTGCTAAAATTAATAAATATATTATTAATACCTACAAAGGGCTGGAAAATTGTTTCACTAGCTTGCTTTTAATGCTCAGGAAAAAACATTATAACTGCATAGGTGAAGTGCGTAGTTCAAGCAACGGTACGCATCTCCACTCCTGGAGTAGGAATCTCTGGGAGGAGTTTTGGGATGGGGGACTGTTGGTATGGGACCAAATCGGGAGCCAGTATTTTAATACAAAGTTTCAGAAGTACAAAGTTTTAAGGAAAGCTCATTGAGCAACTGTTCAGGAAAAAGGACACACTGTCCTGACAATGTGAGACTCTTTATAGAATGTTTATTGCTGAACATTAAAATTAATCATGATCTACTAAGAGGGATACCGTTGAATAAGCAATAAACTCCCTGCCATTCATTATCTGTATAGTGTCACTAGCTGGGATTACTTAGGAATTAACACGTCAGCCCGTTAATGATACATAGCCCTCACTGTATTCAGAAGCAGACGGTGCCAGTTGGATCGTGAGGATGAACGTACTAATATAAGGTTCCCGAACTTGACAAACCACACAGGTGCAAACATTTCAGAGCGTTGATGACTTTGAGAGAAGTTAACAGCAGAACTTGGTTACTCATAATATCCGTAAGTGGAGCTCTCTAGACAGAATGCCTTCACAGACCCCTGCTTTTGGAGTTGTGTGTCTCACCACACGGGGTCTAGCGTGGGATAAGACCCCACAACTGATAAAAATCCATTAAAATAGTCTATACAATTCACTTATGCCAATTGCCACCAAATCTATCTATCTGACTGGCAAGATGTTGGTCTGTGTTCTCATTCAATTCCTCATCCTGCTTGAGCAAGGGCAGAACATTGTATCACAAGTCACCACCCAAAGACTAGTGAGCTGCAAGACACTCCTGTACAGAGAGGTAGTAGCCATTCACAGAAGACAAACTGCGAAACCAACATCCCAAAGCAGACACCCCATTTCCAATCTACACACCAAAGCTGAATACATGATTTACTGAGCCCCACGCAGTTTCTCTACAGATTTCAGAGAGGAATTCTTTACTGAGGGAAACCAGAAAAGATGCCCTAGCTCTGGTAGGATAAGCCTTGAGATCTTCTAATATCTGCCTCTCTCAATTCATCTAGACAATCTACACCAAGACAGATTTCTTCTCAGCTCATGGGCAACAAAAAGTGGGAAAACCGCTTACAAAAAGATTTTTAATGGAATCATTTTCACCTAAGAAGTGAGTATCCAGTTGGGTAGAAGAGTTGGGCAAGGAGTATCATGGAGCACAGGGGAAATGCACAGAGATGTTGTTAAGGAATAACTCCAACAATAGAAATCTTAGGCAAGGACAAAGTTCCATCTTAGCATTTTTTCATAATGGTAAAAGGTGAGTAAGACATAAGCACCTGCAGTTTACTGATCTGGCTCAGGGGAGTACAAGGAAAAATGGCCAGTCTCAGGAACAAAAGTTAACAAGGGTAAAATTTCAGAAAGAGGATTACTGCTTTTACTGGGAAGCAAATTAAGGAACCCCAGAGACAGCAAGAGCGATCATCAGAGAATCTATGGGGAGCTAGCAGCAATCACTACGCTTAGGTCGCTCAATAGTTCCATAATAAATGATTTGTTTAACCTTTTTTTGTGACGCTCTCCCACGTCCATTGTTTGCAGCCGGCCTTGGAATTCAGCAGGGAGAAAAGCTCTCTGACAGCAACGGTGCCTTTTCTTTGTCTCATGAAACTCCACTCAGGTTTAGCCAAGGCATGAACTGCTAAAAGTCACCACTTCCCTTTCCTGTCCTGTCCCTCAGGAAAATCTTGGCAGCCCGCCAAAACAACAACTGACTATGGATATCCTAAAACGTTGGGTCCAGGCTCCCAACAGAGCAGCAACACCACAAGCAGCTCTAGAACTGCCGGAAGCTGCCGGAGCAAGGACAGGACCTCACTGACACAGGCTGCTCTGTGCACTCCCCCTTTTAAACACATCTTCTGGGCCTGGCACATGGTGCCAACAGGGCATTCTCCTTCCTCCCTGGGAGCACCGCTTTGTCCTGCTGCCACCTAATGCAGTTAGTTCGGTAGCTCAAATGACAGACCTCTGTGCTCCACTGTTGAAGGTTCAGGGATTCAAGTCCTGCTGACGTTGCAAGAAGTGAGCATTGTTACAGTTGTACGTACTAGAATTCATTTTCAACTTTTTCCTTTTTAAAGAAACCTAGGCAATGACATACCAAAACTTTAAAACTTTCAGTTCAAGTGCTTGACTTTGCAGAATTAGGATACGCTAGATTTACCATTGTCCATGCAGCCTTAATTCTACCTGAGTGCATATCCATTATGATGTCCTAATAACATGATTGCATCCCGCGGGGTAGAGCCCTGCAGAAGACCATTTTTTTAAATCTCACTCCCGTCCCGTCCTGCCCTGCAATACCCACAGGACGCAATCATGTAATTAGACTATTATAACACGTATGCACAAAGGGGCAGAGTTAAGGTTGCACTGAAGCCGTATAGCCAGTATTTCCCAAATCTGGGTGCTTGGATTCACAACCTGAATAAATAAAGGTTTCTCACTTGTAATCCAAGTCCTCTGAGATGAACTGCACGTTCACACTCAAAGGACGTGCTAACAGTGTGGCCGGATCTGCACTATTGGAGTATCCCATGAGTGGGAATGTGCAGCGGCCATTCAAAACACCTGCTTTGAACTTTGTTCTTTGGTAAGTCATTACTTGCTATTTGCCTTACTATGGGACCTAGAGGTTCCCCATCAAGATCAGAGCCCTATGGTGCTAACCCTGAACATCCACCCAGTAAGAAAAAATCTTGAACAATCATATGACAATTAAATTTTAAACTACAGCCTACACAGAGGGAGAAATATAAATCCGGCCATGCAGTGCCAGCTCCATGACCGAAGAAGCAAGAGTTAAAAAGAAGACAAGGACAGAAGAGATTTTGTGTTTCCATTAAAATAGCACGTGCTAGCTGGATATCTAATGCATCAAACCATTTAGTCTGGTAAAGTGAAGCATCTCAACTCCTGGAGTGGGAATCTCTGGAAGGAGTTTTGTGATGGGTGATTGTTATCTATGGGACCAAATCAGGAGTCATTATTTTGAATACAAAGTCTCAGAAGCATATAGTTTAAAGAAAGCTCATTGAGAAACTGGCCGGGAAAAGGACACACTGTCCTGACAATTTGAGACTGTTTACAGAGATGCTTATTGAACATTAAAATTGATCAGGAGCTACTCTGAGGGATACAGCAGGGAGTACAACAGAAATGTCTTATTTTTCTAAACCATTTTGAACACACAGTTTTTATATATTAATAGATTACGTTTGGGAGGTAGGAATTTTCAGTGGTGTAGCCTGTTTAAACAATATTTTAACTCTTACTTCAAGTTCCTAAGGGGAAAAAGACTCTGACGTATTTGTGTTTTCTTACCTTAATTTATCATATTTTGCCACATTTTTCAGAAGCCTGAAGCTAGACACCTACATCCCTGTTCAAGCTCCACCAAGTCACCCGATATTCAGAGATGCTGTGCACCCATAATTCCCACTGATGTCACTGGCAATCCCTGGGCACTTACTGCCTGTGACCAAAACATTGGGCACCCTCTCTAGGCACCTAAATATAGATTTAGGTGGGTAACAGCAACCATGTTTGAAAATTTGGGCTATTTTCTGTAAGTACCAACATGACTCAGGCATTTCACAGGATGACAAAGGGACATGTGGCTATCAGAAGCTGGGGCACTTATGATTTGTAACTGCCCCCCCCCCCCCCGCCCCGGTACACCCTCTCGTCTCAGACTGGGCACCGTTCCAACACAGGGACGGGGCCTGTGATGTGGTAAAGGTACGGGGGTGGGAGGGAAGGAGAAAATGGGGGAGTGGCCATGTAACTATGGTATCAGTGGCTCGTCAGAACTACTCTGTTTGCCAAGAAACCATCTCTACTCTGTGTTTGCCCTTGAGTCAGGAAGGAGGGAGATGCCGGCGGGAACTGTTGTGTGTTATTGCAGAGCTGTGGTAAGCATTCTAGTGAAACTAAAACTATTTATAAGCTCGATTGTGCCACACTGGCTCACATCCTATCGCGTTTCCTCCCAGCCCTGAAGGCAGAGTTCAAGGCTGGTTCCAAAAAGGAAACCCGGCCAGGCAGATCACAGCGACCCATCCTGTATGATGCAAACAGTGTATCTGATTCACATGCAAACAGAAGGCAGAGTCCGAGCCACTTGTGATAGTAGATAATGTTTTCACCCCTCAGCTCATAGAGAGCCGAAAGCAAACCTCTTCTCTCACCTATGCCCCACAATGCGCTTTGGCAACCAAAGACTTTAATACTAAGATTAAGCTCTTTGGGGAAGAGGCTGTATCTACCTCTCCACCTGAAAGCAGCTAGCACAATGAGACCTCAACCAGGACTATTGCCTCTGGCTGCTACAAATGTAATAACTAATCATAAATTGTGATTTCTACAGGAACATGCAGAAATGCCTTTGTCCCCTACCTGAGGTATTCCACACAATTCCATTTCTTTTTTTGTTTATTTTTTCCGAGCTCTTCTTGCATTTGCCAATCACCCAGAATAACTGCTCTCTAGGTATTCGGCATGAGCAGGGTCAATGGAAGGCAGCCGAAAAGCTAAGAGATTGCTGGGTTTATTTTCTAATTCAAACATGACTCATTTATGACACGGAGCCAATGCACTATGGCCCAACCCCTGTAACCATTTATTTTGGCACTGATTTCAGTAGAAGCTGGAGTGGGCTTTATGGGCTTGGTTTAACTACCACTGGAGTAAATGGAAGTACTCCCATCCCTTCACAATGGGTTTTGAATCAGACCCTCTGGTCCCCAATTCAGGGAAGCTCAAGCAGGTTTAAGCGCACGTTCAAGGGCTTTCTTGGAATCCTGACCTAACATTGACGTGATCACCACAAGTTCTGTACACGCCCCCTGAGTTCTGTTCACTCCTCTGAAGCTCTGGAGACAGGATATTGGGCTAGATGGACCAACAGTCTGACCCAGTATGGCCGTTCTTATATTCACCATCTTGGATGACACAGCAGGGACTGAACTGGGACCCTCCAGATGAAAAGGATGAGCTGCTATGGCTTGAACTAAAGAGACAAGCCTCTGAAATGGGTGACTGTAACAGCATATACTTTATGGATTGGCACACAGGGGCACCTGTAACACACTCAACCAGTGGGTTACATGAACTCATTAGAAATAGCCATTTCAGCACTTGTCACAGACTCAGCACCAAAGAAACTCAATCTCCAGCATGAAATGATTACAGTAGAACCCACTAATTTTCATGAATAACTGGGCCACCTGTTGTGAATTATTGGATTTTGTGTTTTAGCAAGTAGCATACCCCTCATTAACTTGCACTTCGCTCATCTGCATACCCCATAAATTTCATTGGGGAAAAAACCACGTCTCTCCCAATCACTTTTCAAAAATGATAGAATGACAGATTAACAAAGGGAATTCTGTGATGCACTATCCTTGCTTTTACTACTAATTTGCAAAATTCAGTCACTAACAGCTCCCCCAGTCATTAGTGCAAATGTACAAAGAATTGAAGTATAATGCATCACAGAATGTACTTTGTTCATTTATTCTGGCAATTTCAGTTTAGTTTTATTTATACCAATATACTAACAAATGTTCTGTAAAATATCTTGTAAAAGGCAAGGGCTGTAAGCTTTTTGAGGCAAGGACTTCTTACAAGTCTATTAGTGCCTAGTACACAATATGAAACCTCTCTACCATTCTAATATAAAACATGCAAAGGTGGGAAGACCTGCAATGTTTATGTGGATCATAACATCACAGGATTAGCAAAGTCCTGCAGTACAGCGTATTTCTAGCATACAATTTAAACATTAAAGGTGTTTTTCAAGTTTGATGGCATGTGACAGCACTGAGGGCCCGAATCTCAGTTGCCCTGCACAGTACGCAGACATTTACGGCAGTGAAAGTGGATTTAATATACCACTAAAATCAGAATGGCAGTATTTTCACCCACGTTCACTGGCGTAAATAACTACAGAAGATGCAGAGCAACACAGAATCAGGCCCTATGGTTTTACTTTGGTTTTTCACATATGATCACCAGAGAAATTGTCAAAAAACGAACCCTTATATAGTATCTTTGGATCCATTTTGCTTAAATTACAGGGTCAACAAAAAACAACATAAGGAAAAGGCTAAATTTCAGGTTACGGTGTTCATATGACAATGCACCCTAGTTTTGGTGAGCAGGGAGCATGTTCCTGCCATATCATCTCCCAAAGTCACATAACCCAACAAACCAATGACAACTGCAAATGGAACAGACATTACACTCAGACTTGTGATCACAAAACAGAAGATAATCTGGAGTGTTATTTTTGATTCAATGACTGCCTAAAAAGTGTTCTAGGTACCATCTAAACATAAAACAACCCCATCCACTGTCCCGAGGAACTTGCATTCTCATTAGGCCAATTCACAGAGAAAATTTATAGATGAAGGGACAGGGTTATTGGGGGGAGGGATAGCTCAGTGGTTTGAGCATGGGCCTGCTAAACCCAGGGTTCTGAGTTCAATCCTTGAGGGGGCCGTTTAGGGAATTGGGGTAAAAATCTGTCTGGGGATAGGTCCTGCTTTGAGCAGGGGATTCGGCTAGATAACCTCCTGAGGTCCCTTCCAACCCTGATATT